TCTGATGTTAATATAAACGACAGGCAGGTGAGAAGGCTCAATGGGTAAAGGTGCTTGCTGCAAAGCCTGAGGACCTGAGTTCAAACCCCAGGACTTGAGTGGTGGAAGACGAGAACCTACTCCTGCAGAAGTTGTCCTCTGACCCCTATCCCTGCTCATGGCAAGCAAAACAAGCACAGCACACTGCCGTGAGGGGTTTCCAGAGAGGATCAGATTTCAAGGGCTCTGGCCCGATGCATCACTGGTTACTCAATGGGCTCATTATATGACTGCTTTCTAGGAGGTGGCCAAAGGCAGAGGGTGGGGCCCAGCTGGAGAAACTGTCACCAAGGTTTGTCCTTAGCATACATCTTGCCCTGATTCCTTCCTTTTACTCTCTCTGCTTCTGGGACCCCTTGAGTGAACTACTCTTCAGCCATGCCCTCCCCACTCTGTTGAACTGACTGAACCTCTAAAACCATAAACCAAAAGAAATAATTAAAGGTTGGCATGATAGATGGCTGCTCTTTCAGAGGACTCAGTTTCAGTCACCAGCACCTGGATCTACCACTGGGCCACACCCCAAGCCCCTCACTGGGGATTCTAGGCAGGGGCTCTACCACTGAGCCACACCCCAGACCCTCACAGTGGCAAGTTCTAGCAGGTACTGTAGCTAACTTGTTCTCCCCATAGGCTATACTGACTTTCCAGCCCACCTGTTTCTTCAGGTAGCCACCATAAGTCTTCCCTTTTTAGTTTGCCTGCTTGCCAAAGAAATCGAGAATTGTTTCTGGTTGGGCAGTGGTGGCCCACACCTTCAATCCCAGCACACAGGAGGCAGAGGCAGGAAGATCTCCATAAACCCTGGAGCAGCCAGGACTAAAAATTTCTCCCTGTGGCTACTGGCTAGCTGTATTTCTTCCAGGGGTGGTTTTTTTTGTTTTGTTTTGTTTTGTTTTTTTGTGGCTCTTTGTGGTAGACCTGAGTTCTGTCACGAATGTTACACTCCTCTCAGGCTGATTTCTTATCAGGCAGAAATGCTTAGTGGTTTTAGATTTCGCTTTTTGTTTTTTGAGACAGTGTTTCTCTGAACTTGCTCTGTTGACCATGCTGGCCTGGAACTTGGAGATCTACCTGCTTTTGCCTCTAGAGTGCTCCAGATTGCCTCCGTAATTAAGGTGTGTGCCACCACCACTCGGCTTCTTATTTATTATTTTTTTAAAATGACCTTTCTTTGGATCAATTTCTCCAGGATAAGATCTCCACTTAAGAAAAAAAAAAAAACTAGCACTTTATAAATAGGTGAAGGGCAGAGACCCTGGTCAGGTTCCACCCACGCCCCCCATAAAGCCTGTCCTGAAAGCTATTCCTGTCATTCCTCCCCCTACCATCCTAGAAAGGATGTTCTGTAGACTGGAAAACAGTGCTTTCTGTGTGGGTGGAGACAGATGGCAGTTGCTGGAGCACATACTTTTTATACTTCCCGAGTATCTAAGAGGTCTCAAGTCCCGGCCTCTGGTGTCTACTCTGACAGAGTCTAGGAACTCACTTCGGGGAGGGAAGTCAGAGCCAGAGAAGGCCACTGGGGTGGCTGATGGCACGGGTTGGGTGAGGTGGTCTTGGTCAGCAGGTCACCAAGTGTGCAGCCTGGCCCCTCAAGGCGCACTTGGGAGCCTTAGTGAGGCTTCAGGAAATGCGTGTGTCCCACACGCAGTAAATGGCCTGTGTCCCATCTGGCATTGCCATCAGGAGCAACCTGGGAGGATGGGAGCCTGGTTAACCAAACTCCAGGCTGCCGGCCCACATTCCAACTTCAGATCCTGGGTTTGTTGCAGGGCTGTGTGACCGACCTCCTTCCTGCAGGTGACATAAGCCTTTCTGTGTTTCCAGCACAGTATAGGATAGCGCCCTTGTCACTGGATGACCCTGTCTTCAAAAAGTGATGTAGGACTGGGCCATTCTCTCCAGGCGTTTGCTGATGGCTGATACAACAATGGGGTTAAAAAAAAAAAGTCCTTTCCTCATACTGATCTCACTCCTGGGGGCTGTGAGGAAACAGGGGAATCTGGGAGTAAGCTTATGGCCTGGCACTTCGAGAATGGGAGGAAGTGTGTACGGGCCAGGGGTTTTTGTGTTCTGGTGCTGGGTGGGACATCCACTCTGGCATGCGATCAACAAACTCCTTGCCAAGTTGCAGGGGCAGCAGGATTCCAGCAAATTCATTGTAGTTTTTCTCCAAGTGTTTCCAATTTTTCTGTACTGAACCAACCTTCTTTTTAGACTAAGTCTCAGAGCTGGGGCTGTGCCTGTTGGTACAGTGATTGCTTGGGATGTGCAAAGCCCTGGGTTCAAAACCTAGTACTACGTAACACCAGGCACGGTAGTGTCCATCCATAATCCTGGCACTCAGAAGGTAGTTAGGAGGACCAGGTCAAGGCTCTCTGCTGTAACCTAGGAAATTCAAGGCTAGCCTGGGCTACTTGAGACCCCAACTCAACCTAAAATTGAGACATTGGAGTTGACTTAGTGGTTCAGTTTCCTGATCGGAATCAGTTCTGGTGGCTCCAGAAAATCTCAAGGCCCTGTCTGGCTTCCATGAGAACACACACAAAACATTAAAGAAAAGTAACTTAGAACAAACGTGTGGAACAATGGTTCAGCAGTTAAGAGCACTGGCTACTCCTCCAGAAAACCCAGGTTCGATTTACAGCACCCATATGATGCTATGGGTGACTCTAGTTGCAGGGTCCTCTCAAGTTCAAGGAGAATCAAAGTTCTAGAGACACTGGTCACTGGGAAGTTCTGGTTGGATTCTCTTACCCTTCACCCACCCTCAGGGGGCCACAATGCAGCAAGCAGCAGACCCCAGGACACACAGGATAGGACTGTTTTCTGCATAGGTGCATGGGGAGGTGAGCGTGTGTGTTCCCTAGAGACACCTTTCTAGGCTGGCCCAGAGGACAGCTGGATTTGTTTATCTGTAACTTGGAGGCCAGGGACACTTGACATTTTTTCCTCCTTTCTTCTTTTTTTGAGACAGGGATTCTGTGTGTAGCTTTGGAGCCTGTCCTGGAACTCGCTTTGTGGACCAGACTGGTCTCGAACTCAGAGATCCACCTGTCTCTGCCTCCTGAGTGCTGGGATTAAAGGCGTGCACCATCACTTGCCAGTGCACTTGACATTTTCATACTGGTTCCAAACCCCTTCCACTCTAGAGCAGGAGACAGGAGTTCCTAGGAGTGAGTGTGAATATGATCAAAATACACTGTATACATGTATGAAAACCTCAAGAAATTAAATATACACAAAAATAAATTGGAGGAGCCACCAGGCAAGGCCTATTAGCATTCATGAGCAAGAGGCACAGGAATCACGAGCTCAAGGCCAAACAAGGCTATTGTGAGGTCCTGTCTCAGGTAAGGAACATGAAAGGTGGGGGACAGGAGTTCAAGGGCACCCTTGGCCACTTAAGAGTTCCCAGTCAGCCTGGGCTACATGAGACCCTGTATCAAAAAAGCAAAAACATAACAAATCAGAATCTCAACCCTGTTTTAGGGCTGGAGGGACAGCTCAGTGTTTAAGGGCTTCCAGAGTACCTGGGCTTAATTCCCAGTACCAAAAACTGACTCACAACCATCTGTAATTCCAGTTCCAGGGGATCCACTACCAGCTTCTGGCCTCTGTGGGCACCATGCACGAGTTGCACAGACAGACATGCAGGGAAAACACTTGACATACACAAATCTTTAAAAATAAAAAAAATTTCGGGCCAGCTGTGGTTGCACACACCTTTGGTTCCAGCAGAGTGTCAGGCCAGCCTCGTCTATATGAGATGTGTCAGAACAAAAATGAAACCAAAACACTAGAAATTGAAAATTGATTTGTTATATGTGTGTGCCTGAATGTATGTGCTCTATCCTCCTGCACGCTGATGGAAGACGCCATCGGATCCCCTGAACCTGATTTTATAGGTGGTTTTAAGGACCTGATGTGCGGACTGGGGGGACTGAACCCAGGTCTGCAAAAGCAGCAAGCTCTCAACGACTAAAGCACCAGTCCAGCTGCATTTTTTTTTTCCCTTTAAGGATGTAAAGTTGGTTCCTTGCCAAAGGCGTTTATAAACAGGAAGTGAAGAGGGAGCCCTCTCTGATCCCCTAAAAAGCTTAGATTAGCCTTGGACTTGTTGGAAAGGACATGAGGGGTACTAAAGAGTCATTTAGCCTTCTTCCTTGGCAGGGGCCTAACAGACTCCATTGTCTCACGTGTTTGACATTCGGATACAGGACCTCAGATACTGCTGAGATTAATGATCTGTTATGTGTACCAGCAAGGCAAGGTGAGCTTGCCTGCTACCCCAGAAGAGGAGGATCAGTTCAGAGTGCCCCTCAGTGAAACAGTGAGAGACCACATGAGACCCCTCTAAACAAACAAAAACACAGAAACAATAGAAACAGAAGAGGCAATAATGCCAAGGGTGACAAATGCCACAAGGAAAGGGACTACAGTGCTGGGGGGTGGGAGGGGGCAACAATTTACAATAGGACATTAAGGGAGACCGCAGTGAGCAAAGATCAGAAGGAACTGAAGAGGAAACCCTGCGATTACTCACAGAAGAGCTTCCCTGGAGGGGAATATGAGGGTGCAGCTCAGTGTAGTGGTTTCAACAGTGAGGGGCTGGGGGCGTGGCTCAGTGAGTGGTGGAGCCTCTGCCTAGAATCCCCCAGTGAGGGGCTGGGTTGTGGTTCAGTGGTGGAGCCCCTGCCTAGAATCCCCCCAGTGAGGGGGTGGGGGCGTGGCTCAGTGGTAGAGCCCCTGCCTAGAATCCCCCCAGTGAGGGGGTGGGGGTATGGCTCAGTGGTAGAGCCCCAGTAGAGCCATGGTCTCGGCACACTCAGCACTGGTGGCTGGCTCTGCCACAGGGGGTCTGTGCTACCTAAGTCTTGGGCCACAGAGGAGGAGCAGAGACAGGCTGAGTGGACTTTAGGAGGAGATGCTGCTTGAAAGAAGAAAGGAACATGAGCCCAGGGCTGGTCACAGCACTTTATTGAGGGGTGGGGCTCCAGCTCTGCACAGCTACAGCCTGAGGAGACAGGACAGAGGGCAGAGCTGAGGTGGATGAGTGCAGGGGCGCACTCGATGTCCCTTCTGGTGTGGGACTTGAGCCCCCTGGGCTTCCTCTCCACTCCTCTAGATTCCAATCACAGGGTTTGGGAAGGGCCCTGGGCCTGGCAGCTTTCAAAGGGAAGGCAGGCTGCTGTGGGTGAGCAGGCCTAAGACCCCGGCTCACAGGGTGCGGTCAGCCGCACGGACGGCCTCACGGACGGCCACACGGACGGCCACACTCACTGCATCTCCCGGAAGGAGCGCTTCTCCACCATCTTCACTTTGTACTTGCGCTTGAACCTGAGGAGAGGCAGGCGCGGTGGGCATCCCTCACCTCAGCCAGCGGTCTCGGCCCTCCCAGCCCTCCCACTGCAGCAGGTCTTACTTGGCTCGTTCCCGGGGCTCGATCATATTCCTCTTCTGGAAGCTCTTGAACCTGTCTCGGAGTATGTTACCTTCTGGCTGTGGGACAGGGGGCAGAGACTTTAGCAGGGCCTGGGAGAAGGAAGCCAGGCCCTGGACCGCGCTGGGGTCCACAGGGAGCTCAGTATTGCACTGGAGTCAATGTGGGCTATTCTGGCTGGGCTCAGAGGACAAAGCCTAGGGGAGCCCCAGTGCAGGCCAGGCCAGGCCGGGCTCCAGATGTTCACAGCTGAGGAGACCCACTAGGGCTGACAGGAGAGAGGCCCTGACAGATGGCCTTCTGAGGGTCAGAGGCTCACACTACAACACCCTCACTACCCTGTGCCCTCAGACCCCAGGCAATGGCCCAACTGGCCCAGCCCAGGGCACCCATGGTGTCGCCCACAGCCCCAGAGGGCACGGGGAGCAAGGATGGTTATCATCACTGGGCACAGGGTCCCCACAGCACCCTGCCACCCTCATGGAAAGTACCTTCAGGGTCCTGAGTGAGTCAGACAACTCGGAGCTGAGCTGCACATCAATGTCAGGGTCCTGGTACCTACAGGACACAGGGCAGACGACACTTGGG